TTTTTTTTTTTTTAATTCTCTCTCCCCAAAAACAAATACTCCTATAAAAAACAATAAAATTAAAGCTCAATTAGTGTAAATGTGCAATCAATCCCTTTGTCCTTTTTTCTCCCTGTCTTTTTATACTATAAATTAATCCCCAATTTGTTGAAGAATCTCATAAAACCCCCCAACTTTTACTTTACGTAGCAACACTCACATTCCTTCGTAGTTACTCTTCTTACTCTCTTTTGTGCCCAACTACCATACACATCCTCATGACCAATATGGAACAAAATCACAACCCACAATTTTCCTCCTCCACCACCGCCGCCGCCGACTCCACCAGAACCGGCATTCTGGCGTCGGCGACGGGCGCGACCGAAGTAGAGCCGAGCTACCGAGGGGTCCGGAAGCGGAATTGGGGCAAGTGGGTGTGCGAAATCCGAGAGCCAAGGAAGAAATCGAGAATATGGCTCGGGACATACTCGACGGCCGAGATGGCCGCGCGTGCCCACGACGTGGCGGCCCTCGCCGTCAAGGGCCCGTCGGCCTTCCTCAACTTCCCCCACCTGGTCGGCCGCCTCCCTCGACCAGCCTCCGCCGCGGCCAAGGACATCCAGGCTGCCGCCGCGGAGGCGGCGGCGGCCACCGATCTGGACGGGCCGACCGGGCGCCAGGCGTCGAGCTCGGACTCGTCGACGGATTCTGCCTCCGACGCGCGAGCGGCGGCGGCCACCGAGATGGACAAGCCGATCAAGCGCCAGGTGTCGAGCTCGGACTCGTCGACGTATTCATTCTCGGACACACGAGAGCCGTTGGATTGCGCGGTTGATTGGACGACGGCGAACGGCGACGACGACACGTTTTTCGACCTGCCGGATTTGGGGCTGGCCGCGAGTGGCTCTCACGGCGTGGATGGGTTATGTTGCTACGCTCCCACGTGGCTGGATCCATTTCCGTGGGAGTGTAACTAGTTAATTGATTAAAGTTTTTCTTCTGTTTCAACTTTTTAACTAGAATGCTACTATATTATACATCATTATTAATCAATAATCATTAATTAAATAAGAAATTATTCAAATGTTATTATTTTAGCTGTTCACATTGAATATAAAAATCACGGCCGCGCAAATTCAATTCATATTACAGTTGCATCATACATACTCTGTATCTGTATAATTGATTTAATTTAATAGTAAAAAAAAAAAAAAAAAAAAA